CTTAATTGCTGTAGTATGACAGTAAGTGTCCATCTGTGCTACTGCAAGACTTCCCATGTTGTTCTTATTTAGAACTATCTTGTGTAGTTTTGACCTTTTGTTTGACCTTCCTTATAAATTTTAGGATCATCTTGAATTTCGCTGGATGAAAACAACCCACTGACCAGTACTACCAAAAAAATTACCTACTGAGATTTGGGATCTTTACTACAGCAATTCTTTCCTATCCATCATATTATATAAACCCTACATCTATTTAAGTCTTCTTTGATTGCTTTAAATTAAGTTTCATTATTTTCTCAATTTGCACATATTTTAATAGGTATTTTTCTGTGTATCTTGTGTTTGGTAATGTAGTAATGTGTGTATGTATGCATATATGTGTATATGTATACATACATATAATATATACATACAATATATGTATACATACATACATATCTGTATAGGTAGATGATGAATGGATAGATAGATAGTAGATAGATGATGAATAGATAGATAATAGATGATAGATAGATAGATAGATAAATAGATAGATATGAAAGTTCACTTTCTCTCTGCTATGGACCCATGGATATATTGGAATACAATTAATGTTTTATTTTGATTTAGCATCTTTGCTAAACTCTTACTCATTCCAACAATTTTTCTGTAGAGATTTTGGGGTTTTCCATAGGGGCAGTCATTTCACCTACAAATGATGACTACAGTTCTTCCTTTCCAAACTTTACTCTGTAATTTTGGAGGAGTTTGTTTGAATCTTGGTTTTGTTTTCATTTTGTTGTTGTTGCTGTTGTCTGTTTCATTGAGGTGGCCAGGACTTGAGAACGATGTTGAATACATCTGGTAATAGCATCTTGATCTTTAAGTAAGTATTTTCAACCTTTTACCACACAGTAGCAATTTGCTTTAGGTGTTTTTTTATTCATTTATGTAAATGTCCTACATAATAGTTAGGAACATTGACTCTAATCCCAGCATTTTTGTTTCTTTCTTTTTTTCTTTTTTGAACTCAGGGCCTCACCGCTTGCTAGGCAGGCCTTCTACGACTTGAGCCACTCTGCCTGCTCTTCAGCATTTTTAAATGAAAGGATATTTGACTTTTTTCAATACATTTTTCCTAACACAATGGGATGACTATATGTTTTTTTAAACTGTTACTAGGGTTGATTGTATTCATTGATTTGACAATAGTAAACTATCCTCAAATTCTTGGAAAAACTTTAGTGTAGTCAAGTTGAACTATGCTTTCTATGCATCATTGGCTCTATTTGCTATTACTATGGTGAGAATTTCAGAAATAAGAATTTCCTGTTATTCACGTTTTTTTAAACAAATTATATTAGTTTTAGTACTAAGTTCATGCTAGACTTAACCAGCTGTGGTGATGCACACCTGTAATCTCAGCAATCAGAGATTGAAGCAGGAAAATGGTGAGATGCAGGTAAACTTGGGCTACATAACAAGATCCTGTCTCAAACACACAAATGAACCAAAAATCAAGGTTGTATGAGTCTTATAAATGGAGTGGGGGAATATTCTTTATTTTCCATTCCCTGGAAGTGATGAAATATTTAAATTATTTATCTTAACAGCTTTCAATACTCATCCTTAAATTCTCCACCTTCACATCTTATGTTATGAGACATTACTGATGCTCTATATTGAAAAATGGGAGTGGAAGGTAAAGGAGTAAGGGAGAGTAATGGAAGGGGTTAAACAGACCAAAGTAAAGTATACCCACAGTGGACATAAGTTGAGACATCACTTTGAAGGTCAACTTAAATATTAATAATGAAAACCAGACTGTAAAATTGGTACAGTGGGAGGGGGTACTAATGGGAGGGTAGAGGGTGAAGGAAGGAGATGAAGGTGATAGTATATGGTAGACGGATTTCATATACCTATATGAAACAGAACTAAAAAAACCTTTTGCAATTGCTTTAAGTTGGGTGGGGAGGGGGTTTAGGGGGAGAGATGATGGGGCAATGTAAGTTTCTGTACAATATAAGTCTAATAGGAATTGTCACTATGAATCTTCCCTGTATAACAAATATATCCTGATAAAAATTTATTTAAAAATAAATTATTTATCTCACAAGGTTTGTTGCTTCCCTTGTGGAAACATTTTTAGTTATGAGTGCATTTGTTTACTTTCCATCCTTTTTTTTGAATTCGCTTCAGTAAAGATGTATTTTCTGAACCACTTCAATTTCATTTAAGATGTTATTAGCACTAAAGTTTATAGCTATTTTCATTATCTACTATATTCTGAGATATCTTTGTCTAATATTCTATTCTTAAATTTGTTATTTGTATCTATTCTCTTTATTAAGCTTGTAAGAAGTGTTTATGTCTGCTAGTTTTTTAGAGAATAAACTGTTGAATTTATTGATCATCTTTATCATTATTTATTCTTGTTTCATTATTTGTTGGTTCTATTTTGCTATTTTTTCTTATACAAACACTGAGTTTACTCTAGCTTTTGTTTGGTTTGATTCGGTTTTGCTACTCCTTAAGTTTAATAGCTAGCACATTCCTTTTCAACCTTTTTGTTAATAAAGCATTCATGACTATAAATTATTAAGTTTTGTTCTGTGGTATTTTCCTTATTGTCAGCCATAGTGAATCCATTGTGATAGATTCCTAGATTTGTGAGTTCTTTGGAAATACTTTTAATTTCTAAACACAAGGTGTTTTTCTACATTGCTTTGTAATTTGACTACATTTTACTCTTCCACTATGTTTACATGGTTCTGGGTCTCTGAAATTTACTGAGGCTACCTTCATAAGATCCTATTTTATAATTTTTGTATGTGCCTAGAAAGAATTTATACTATGCCATTGTTAGATATTATGTTCCATTTCAAGGTTGTTAACAACAAGAATAGTCAAAATATCTTTGTATTTCATGAGGGTTTTATCTACTTCATATATTAAGTGCTGAAATTTGTTAAAATTGACTCCTATGACTGTAGATTTATGAATGACTTCATAGATTTGTACCATATTTTTATTGTGTATTTTAAGACTCTGTTGTTAAATGTGTCCAGCTTCAGAATTTCTATGTCTTCCTGGTAAATTAAACCTTTTACCATTTTATAATGGCCCTATGTATCTCTAGCAATGCTTTTTCCTTTAATTTGTATTTATACAACAAAACCAACTTTATTTTATCTTTCGAGCTTTTATATAAGTGTATTTTAGAAATATCATTTATAAATAAAATACAGATTATTTATTTGCCCCTAATCTTAAAACTATTCTCATAATGAGAGTAGGGCCCTCTATATGTGAAATCTTTTCCTTTTCAAGATTCCTTTTGGTGTTTGATATTTTGGTGATGGTGAGTACAGGCATATTTTCTTCACATTCAGTCTGTGTGAGGCTTTTGGGTTTCTTGAATCTGTAACTGTGTGCCTTTTTAAAATCTGTAAAATTCTTATTTCTTTAAACAAAGTATTTTCGCCACATTCTATTTTCCTTTTCTTTCTGAGAATCTAATTCTATTCAAGTTAGGCCTTTTAATATTGTCATACAGTTCACTGAATCTTTTTTTAAAATCTTTTTTTGTCCAGAATGGGAATTTTCTATTGATATATCCTCAAGTTTATCATTTCAGATCTAATAGTGTGTGTGTGTGTGTGTGTGTGTGTGTTCTACTGCTATAGTTATTTCCTGTCTTTTCATTCATTGCTATAATACTCACCTTTATATCATTGAGCAGAGTTATAAAAGCTGCTATTATTTTAATCTGTTAATTCCAACATCTGTATCAGATCAAAATAGTTGTCCTTTGATTATCTTTTCTCTTAATAATGAATCACATTTTAATAAGTAGTACTATATCATATGATTTTGTGTTATGCTCAGACCATTGTTAAGGCTACATGGTTAAGAAATGGAGATTTTTGTTTCATTTTATTTTTGCAGGTGATTAGCTTGGTTGGAATCAAATGAAAATCTTTGCAACTTGGGCTGTATTTATAGTCTCAATTCAGTGGTTGGGGATGTGGCTCCATGGTAGAATGCTTGACTAGCATGCACTAGGCCATGGGGTTAGCCCCTCGCACTGCAAGAAAACTAAGCAAATCTCAGTTTTGTTCTTTCATCCTTGACTCAATAGCTTGCTGTCTATCTTGTGCATGTGTGGTTCAAAGAAGGGTTCATAGAAGACCTTCAGGCTCCCACTCACTGACTCTCTTGTTTTGGGATTCTCTCCTCACTTTCTAGCCACTATAGCTGTTCTTTGCTTCCTTTGGACATCTGGAGTTTTAACTACCCTAAATGGAAAAACTGTGACTTACCCTCATGCTAAAGCCATAAAATCACAGAAATTCATACTACACTGTTCCTTCCCTCAATATGTCAACTCCCTTCCAGAATCTGCTTTCTCTGCTTCAGTAGAGAACAGTTTGAAAGAGGGCAAAAGTGAAAGTAGGAAGCCTGATTCAAGAGTCTAGCAAGGAAATTTCCACACCTACTCAATAGAATAATGAAAATAGAGATGAAATAATGTTGTATCTTTTCTTGAGTTAGAAACAAGACTTCAGTTCTACCCAAGAGGACCTGAGAACACTGACACCAAAATACACTGCTCACTGAATTCCTTTTCTCTTCTTGTTGGTCTCTTCCTCTTTTTTCCACCTAACTCCCAGCCTATTAAAGGTGTTAATTTTCAGCTAGTTAAGGAAGAAAGTGAGAAAAAGAGAAGAAGCCAATAAGACCCCCACCTTCTTCCCTCAGCTTTCCACTCCTGGTTCAGGCCTAAACTTGGAAGGAGGAAACTTTAAATTGGGCAGAGTGGTCAAGAAAAGTCTCTCTGAGAGGGTGGTTTTTGACTCAAAATCTGAATGGTTGTGGTTTCATTAACATGCTACAAAAATATTTGCATTACTAATTAAGATTTTCTTCTGCAATTATATTTATTTATTCTCCTTGCCTCCAAACAGCTCTTATTTTAACCACCTGACCAGGCTGTGTTTGAAATTTTCTCCTAGGTTGTGGCTCAAGCAGTGTTATTCATGTGTATGAACACAGCCGGAATTTTCATCAGTTACCTGTCAGACCGGGCCCAGCGCCAAGCCTTCCTGGAGACACGGAGGTGTGTGGAGGCCAGGTTGCGCCTGGAGACAGAGAACCAAAGACAGGTACCAACTGGAAAGGCTGTGTGTCCCAGTTATAACCGAGCCAGTCTCTGAGTTACAGGTACCAACTGGAAAGGCTGTGTGTCCCAGTTATAACTGAGCCAGTCTCTGAGTTACAGGGACTTTTCTTTTTCTTCCTTCCAAACCCATCCTGATTAGCAGGTGTTCTCTCTAAGTTCGTGTCATGGATTTCAGAGTGTAAAATGGTTATGTTAGACTTACAGGTCAAAGTATTTTGGTCTTATCTTTCATACATAAAGAGACCTAAAAATAGCTATTGTCTCAAATATTTTTCTCCAAAACAAAAGTAGTTTTCAAAAGATAAAGAGTGTTCCTATCAGAGCCATTAATATTTATAAAATCCATGCATGTGATTGCTTCTAATAATTGCTCAAAATTTCAAGCATGTGTTGGAAATTGGTTTTAGAATCAACAAGAAATCTCCTAAATTTATATGTTCCTGATAATTCCATGCACAATAGCCACATTAGTTATACCATCCCAGTCTCTTTCTTAAAGTTTTGTTTTATTTTATATGCTGTAATAAGCACACTTGCTATTTTACACTTTATGCACTAATGGTGTGAGAAATTACAAAGTAACTGTGAAAAACTCAACATTTTCTTCATGAATAATTTGATCAAATAATCAGGATAGCATGAAACTTTGAAGTAAGTGAATCCAGGTATGTGTGATATTGGATGAGGCAGGCGGGCTGTGTACAACTTGCCAACTCACTCTCACTGCTGTATGTACAGCTGGGGGCACAGAGGAGACCACTGAACTTTTAGATACTTCATTGACTTCACAGGATTCAGAAGAGGGAATTTCTCAGTTGAGGCCTAAAACAATTATGGAGCCTCATTAAATGGTTTTATTTTAGCTCCTTTGAATAGCTCTTAGAATAGTTTAGAAATACAATTTCCAAAAAGAAAGCACTTTGTACAATATACATGAGTATCTCCCAGGATTGTGTATTATGTTCCTTTGCAAAACAGAGCAGTTGCCAGACAGGCACATCACTTTTCCATGGGACTTATGCCAATTCAGAGAATACAGCCTTATTAATAATTTATTCAACTGTTCTTGATACTCCGTCACAACAAGAACTGCATTGTGGGTGAGCTGTCCAGGATGCCTTTTATGCAGTGTTTATGAAATATCAGAGATACTGACAATTATTGCCCTATATCCTTAACAGTTTTCTTCTTTTTCCAAGCTTTAACTTTCGATTCCAAGAACCTTGGAATCTCTGTGATCTCATAATCTAACATGGTGGGGGGAATCTTCCACTGTCCACCCTAATCTCAATTTATGTTTAAGTTGGTAGAAGGAAGAAATAATAATATAGAAGTGAGAGTAAGCGGCAACTCAAATGTAGTGAAAAGGCCACTAGAGTTTTTGTCATAACTCTGTTACTTCTTAGTTGGGCCACCTAAGTCACTTAAATCTAAACTCTCAACCAATAGACAATATATTCCTATGTGGAATTGTCACAATGAATCCACCATGTACAACAAACATATCCTAATAAAAAAATCAATGGAAAAAATTACCTAGAATATGTAGACAATGCAAAAAAAAAATCTCAGCTATCTAAACTCCTCATCCATTCACAGGCAGTACCTTTCTCTTCCTCATTGTATTTGCTTCAAACTGTATAATGTGTGTAAGGAAATACAAAATTATAAGTCAGTCTCATTGTTTTCATAGATGAAATGCCAGAAAAAACTATAATTTAGTAGGAGATTCTTTGTTCTGAGGATGGAGTAAAATATGCTGGGGGGGTCAGTTTCCTTGTAGTCCTCTGTTCACAACAATGACCAAGTATTCCTGTCATATTTACTAACCTTCCTTCCTCTAGTACCTAAGATAGCTAGCTCTGGATCATTCACTTCTAAAGTTACTTTCCACTGACATTTGATCTCTGATGATGGTTTCCATTTTCCTTGACAAATCCTCAGTAGTAGATAGGCAGTGAAGTTTAACAGGGAAGACAGGCCTTTAAATGAGACTGCTCTGGATTTGAAATACTTGCTTAATTACTATTTTAGTGAGCTTGTGCAAGCTCTGAGTCTTCATCTCTCTATCCATAGCAAGAGGATAATAATATCCTGCCTGAAAATTCTCTTTAACAGTTCGAAATGGTGTGTGCATTGCCCTTGCAACTCGGTTGAGTGTTTCCATTAGCATTATTGTGTATAATTATTTATATGAGTCAGCCAATATAGCTCAGTCCCAAGAGGACTCACTTGAGAAAAATATTATGAATTGGCTTATCTCTGTTGAAATAACCTAGAGTTATTTACATGGAGGTAAATAAGAAGATACTTATCTTTAGATATACAACAACTGGAACTTATCATTAGACTCCATCTGTAACTTTTAAAATATCATGTGTCATTGACAAATTCATCCCATTTACCTCTTATCAGAGCAAATTATAATTTCTATACCCTACAACAGAGACATTGTAAGAGCCTAAATAACAAATAGCAAATGACTTTTCCTTGGATAATTATCCCAAAAGATAGCAAACACCATTTCTGCAATTATAACTGCATAATCAAAACAGTCATATTCTAAGGAAATGAGTAGTTTTGTGGAATTTTTTTGAGCATTGACTTTATCTTATGGTAGAATACAAAGGAAATATTTAAATGATTTATTTTTCAGCCTTGACTACATTTATTTATTGAGGGCTGATTATGTGTGCAGAACTCTCCTGGGCATTGGGAATATAATGGTGAATAGTGAACCATTCCAAGCCTAACAGAATTTATCAACATGGATGGCAATAGCGCAGGGGCTGATAAACTGAAGGTTTATCATTGGCTGCCTCAAAGAAAATTTGCCCAAACTGACATGGGAATGACATTTAGCCCAGTGGAGAAGTAATGAAGGTCAAAAAACACAAGAAAGCATCCTGAAGAGAAAATAACATGGGAAATTATGAGTATTCCCATGACCACTCATTTTTTTAATCTATCCAGCCACTCTTTATCATTATTATTATTAATTATTATTGTTGTTCTGGGGGTACCTTGTGACATTTGCAAAAGTTCTTTCAACATATCACCCCCTCTATATCCAACCACTGTTACATGCTGTAGATAGACAAAAAAGTCTCACTTTTTACTTTACATGGGAACTGGAATTTGAGTAGAATTTTAATTATAGAAACAAAGAGAAGAAAGAAATTTGCAAAGATACTGATAAGATAAATCTTATCAAAGATCTGTTGCAAAGTAGGTTTTCTCTGATATCCTCCAGAAAATTATGTACTTCAATGGATCACTGCTCATTTCTATCTGATAAGAAACACATATTGAGTGTTAACTATGTAGCAGGAATTATTTGAAGCACTGTATATACCAGAGTGAACAGTCTAGTACAAATTTGTATTACAACACATTACACTGGGTCTCCACCTTTACATATTTATTTGTTAGGACAAACTGTGAGGTCCCAAACTATGTTTCATGTGTCATTCCTCTATATTAAACCATCTAGAAGTGCCTGAAAACCATTGTGGAATATATGATTATAAATAACTGGGATCATCAATATTTAATAATGGTTTCTAATTGTTTTTCCAAATAAAAAATTTCAAGCAGTAGCTAGAGGGTAAAGGTACAACATGAACCATGCTTCCTCTTGCTTGGTGGTTCCCATCACTTAATGAGATGCCTGAGGTCCTGGAAACAAGTCTATTTCCTTGGATAACCTGAAATTGCATGCATAGTTCTCGAGGTCAAAGAACCAGAAAATATTAAGACCTTTCTCCAATGTCTTTTCTGTACTAGGTTTTTAACTAAGCTCTTAGAAGATGACTCTCAACTTCATAACATCTCACCTTCCCTCCCACAATAGCTGGCACCACACCCGGCAGAAACTATTGAATGGGCCCAAATGCTGACATTTTTACTGTAGATGATTGGCTGTAAGATGTGCACCACATTCCCTTTCTACTGGGAGGCAAGAACTTTGCTGTCTTCTTCTCTTGATGCTTCCTCCTCCTCTGCTTCTCCCTTCTACTTTTAAATTTTATTACCAATGGCAGCTAGCATTAAGAACAATAATCATCTCCTATCTATTCCCTTGGTCTCCAGCTCTCCTCCAGTCTGTTCTCCATCCAGTTCAGAGCCAGTGCAATGTAGGTGTCAAGAGAAATTCTTCAGTGTCTGGAAGATTTGAGTCCCAGTCCCACATCTCACACTTTCTGGTTGTTGGAATTTAAGCAAACTGCTCCCCTCAAGAGGCTTTGATTTTGTGGATGTAAGATGAACACATTGATTATGCCTTCCTACAAGGGAAGGATTAAGGACAAACATTTTTTAGTTCAAGGCAGAGTGACTGCTCCAGGAATATTAGAGAGGCTTCTGTGGTGATGACACGTTTGTCAGTTGTTATTTCTCTCTGCAGGATAACCCACTGGTGACAAGGTTCAAATTCAACCTTTTTATTCAATATGCTATCTGAATAACTGGTTCACACCAATATTGAGCTAACTCCATGCATAACCCAACAGATCCTCCTACTATCTAGCCTCTCTTCTCTCTCCTTGAACTCTTCCTTACCCTCTCATCTCTCATGATGCACCAAATGAGCATGATCCCCTAAGCTATGTCATGGTTCCTTCAGCCTGGAAGGTCCACCTCCCTCCTACTGTGTTTCTACTGTTCTGTTCCAGCATCCCTTTCTCCATGAGACTTGTTCTTACCTCCCAGATAGAGTTGAAATGCTTTTCCTGTGTTCCCACCATGTCATAAGAGTTAGCTCTATTACAGAATGTGTCACATTTTATTGACATTTACCAGTCTACATTTCTCTCATTCCATGACCACTACAAACTAGATAAAAGCATCTATTCTCTCTAATTCTTCTGATTCTCTGGTACTTATCTACCACAGTAGGTGGAATATAAGCTCTTTTGATTAATATTTATTTAACTGAATTATATTAAACTTATATATTGGCTTCTGGCCTCACTCCTACCTACA